AATTATCAAAATTTGACACGTTATAAGATTACTATTCAAAAAAACACGTGAAATCAGAAAAGACCAACTTCAAGTTAGGACAGAAGGACAGACCAAGCATTTTATTATATAATAATTACTTCTTTGTTTCCTCAAGGGAAAGCTTTTTACTTAAATCAGTAGATTAAATCATTTTTAATTTTAAAAAAATTGTTTTTCGTATTTTTTAGTATAACATTTTTCTTCATAAATATTTTGATTAATTTTTGTCATAATTGTATTTCTGGCACAAAAACGAATTGATTGATGTATACAGGGTGTCCCATTTTAATCTATCAGGCAAAATAACTTTCAACCAGTTGATTTTACAGTGTTGCTGCGATCAGGGAAAACCTGAAAAAATCAGTGAATTTTATAAAAATTGTTTTCAAAAATTAATTTGCCGTATTTGAATCGCGTAAATTTTAAATGATCAAGTTGACAACTAACACTAAGTTGTTACCAAAGATTCTTAATAAAATAAAACTTTCGAATGTATTCAATTTGACATTTTTCTCACCTTTAATTATTAAAAACTCCAATACATAATTTTGCAATTTATATACAAAAAATTTTTTTTAAATAATAACCATACAAATGTTTTATTGTTAATATCATTAAATTTATTTATATAAAATAAGCTAAAACTTTATAACAAAAATTTTATATTTGGTCAGGGAATTTTAAAAAAAATGGTCTGGAAAACCTGGAAATGTCAGGGAATTTTGAAATTTTGAAACCGTAGCAAACCTGTTAACGTGTAATTCTTCAGAGCGCGTTACACATACAATTTGCTGAACATTGAACTCAAAGGTAGCTTCTGATTATGACTTGCCTTAAGCATAACATTCCATTGTTGATTGTGTGACAATATAGAAATTTCTAAAACTTTTTTTCCCATTGGAACTTTAAAGTATCGTTAATATCATTTTTACTTGAATAAAAAGAATTTATAACTAAAATTCTTGACCCAAAAATATAACCCAGCAAACACGTTATGTATCAGCTACATAACAAATAGGTTACATTGTTATGTCACTCTGTGACACTATTTTTATGTAACCATTATATAATGAGAATGAAACGCTGTGATATAATTCTGTTATTCTATGGTGATATAATTGTTACATATTTTGTATACGTCTATGTTATATAACAATATGATGTATTTATTACATCACAATATGGTAACTTTTTGTATGTCACATTTTTCTTTAATTGTTATGTAATTATTATGAAACTGTGTGACATAACACATGAATATTTATGTTATTTTTTAAACAACATTTTTTTCTTATTAACTTTTTAAATTATTTAAATTTCCTTAAGTATATTTTATTTTATATTTAATGCATATTTATGTATGAATTGATAAATTTATTGATTTTTAATAAACGAATGATTTAATAATATATAATATTAATTAATTTATACTTATTATTACTTTTATTTGAATAGTTTTTTTTGAAAATGCAAACAATTTTCTTTTTAATTGAATTTGAAAATTTTAATTTAAAATTTGAAAAATCATAATGTAGAAAAATTAAGGGCGTACTCTTACCACTTGGCTGCCTGCCTGCCGCAGAAGTTTTCATGTCAACGTGCAGGAGTAAAAGAGAGAGAAAATTCAAATTTGAATTTACTATCTCCATTACTTTTACACGTTGCCATGACAACTCTTGCAAGCAGGCAGGCAGCCAAAAAGGTATGCCATGAATTTTTGTAACTTGCATAACATTGAATTTAGGCGGGCATATAATTATGTACAAAGGGATCTTTCTATAGTTTAATTCATATTTTATATAATATAACAATTACATAATTTATAATTTAATTGAGGAATTGAAATTACAAACAATTTTTATTTCATTTTTTTATAAATTTATTTTTAATTTAATAATTTAAATTATACATATATATATTTTATACATATATGGCTCATTTCATTTAAATGTCATATTCTTGTCCCTTGCCAAAAAAAATTATTTGATATAACCTTAGTTGAAATTAATTTGTTTATATAGTAAAAAGCAATGATTTTCAATAATTTTTCTACTTACAAGGACATAAAAATAATTTTCATAATATTGGCAGAACAAAAGGCAGGCAAAATGTCATAAGTGTAATGCGTCCCCGGAGACATTTTCAATGTTCAAATGAATGAATTGTCGAAAATATAGTGTTTAAACCAGATTAAAAAAATGTTTCGCGAAGTATTAGTTCTATATTTAAGGAAAATCAAGTGTTGGCTATTTAAATTACCTTATGAGCAAACAAATTTCTTTACCATCGCATAAGCAGCAGAACACACAACAACGAAGTGTGTGAAAAAAACGAAAACGATATAAGTATAAATCTGCTCGTTTGTCATGGCGGCAGAAAAAACCGAAACACTTTCGTAATTGAATTTCTGTCAACAGTGTAACGCCTTGAAAATGGTTAGAAAATATTTTGAATTTTATATCGGTATGGAATTTAATGTATTTTTGGATTCTCTTTCGAATGAGACCAACCCCGTCGATATAAGTATAATCGTTTTCATTTTAAAAGCGAAAAACGAGCAAAATGATAACAGTGTAATGATCATAAGTGTAATGCGAATTTGTATATATAGCTTCAGTAAACGTAATAAATCACAGAGGCCTACAAAATAAAACTTTTTTCTTTTATCTTGATGTCAGAATGGTTTCTAAAGTATTTTTGGGCGCTGAACACGATCCCGGATCTTAAAATTGCCTAGCATGTCAGGATTTTGAAAAAAGTGGGGGTAAAAACCCCCAAGAGACATGTTTTTATGCACGGAGAGAAATAGATGGTAAGAACGTATGATCTTAAGATGGTAAAAAGTAGATGTTATCCGGTACTATCATTATGCTACTCGGTACTATCAATGATGTTACAAAAAGTATGGTTATGTTACCCACTACAATCAAGATGTTACTCCGTACAATCTGGATAGTAACTGATAGAATCTAGATAGCTGTCCGTATATGTAAGATCAAATATGGTACCTGGTACTATCTAGATAGTACCCCATACCATCTATTTCTCTCCGTGTGGGTGTTTAATATGATTTTTCTCTTTAATCTGACGTGGTAAAAATTCAAAAAAGTTTTAAATTATAGCATAAATCGTGTACTACATGACCCGTACACGCAACCCTCCCCCCCTAATTTTTTTCCATAAAATGGGGTTATAACCCACCCCCAAAAAATTTTTATTTTAATTCTTTCAGCGAAATCAATAGATGTTTATTTGTTTTATGTTCATAATGTTTAAGGACATAAATTTTGCATTTTGCCTAATATATAATTTTTAACCCTTTCGCAGTCCAGTTAAAAATCACTTATAGGCCTAATGAGGTTCCAAACAGAGCTTTCAAAAAAATTTGATTTTATCGTATTTAAGATTTTTGGGTTCATCTGTCATCAAATTCGAATTCAGCGACACCGAAAACCCCCGAGAAACAAATTTTGTCCGAATCGAATCAGTCTTGAAATTATCCGCCATGTTGGGTCGCCATATTGGATCCACCATTTTAAATTTTGAAAATCTGACGTCATATTTATAATTAGCAACTCAAAAAACCCCTAAATAACGAGTTTCAAGCGAATCGAATTAACTTCTGAATTTTCATGTTCGTCATTTTGGATCGGCCATTTTGAATATTTTAAATCTGACTTCAAATTCGAATTCAGCGACCCCAAAAACTTCAGTATATTTATCACTAGTCAAATCAAATTATATTTAGTATTATTATTTTATCAAAAATTTACAGAAAAAATTTTTATAAGAGATGACGATTTCTGCCAAAAAAACCGTCTGCCATAAAAATATATGACTTTAATTTTGTGACCACTATTTATTTTGTTAATTTAACATGTTAAACTGTATAAAAAATTAGTTTCAACCTTAAAATCAAAATTTCCCAACTCAACTTTTCTGGAAACTGAATATGACAATTTAAATGAAATGAGCCATATATATGATCAATAATCGGAAACACGTCTGCTCAACGATAATCTGGAAATTGAACTCAATTGAACTGCTTGAAGATCCCCCTGCCGGTCCTTAGATCCCCAATATGGTTCTATTCCTACAGACAGCCCAAACCTACGAAATAACCATTCGGCCCTATTCGCCGCCCCCCGTGAACGTATATAAGTAATTTAACAATAAAAACATTTTAAATTTAGCATAAAGGCGCGCCATAAACATCACCGGAATTAACAGATTGTCGCCAACTATCCAGTGTGGCCACGTGATGTGCGTAGTAGGTTTGCGAGCGTTAGGTCGTGGGTTCGGTTCCTAGTGCGAGTGAGATTTTTCAAATTAGATTAAGTGTTATTTCGACAGGTGTTGTTAATTAATCTTAACCCGTGTAGAAATTGAAACATGGGGCAGATCAGGACCAGATTAGGCGAAATATGGCCCTAGTTAGGGAAATGATCAAATGAAACACCTTACATACATACATTTTGAAATTAAGGGCCAAATAGGGTTATCAAAGGGGTCACAGATGTCATTATTTCGTTTAATTAATTCAGTTAATAACCTCTTTCCTGTCATTAACATCATTAAAAGAAGACACGTTTGCATGTATTTTCTAGCTCAGCAATTAATAAAGTGCCGTTCGTGCTAAAAATATTTGAGATTTTACAAACTAAGTGAACAAAAATTATATAAATTATGATGTATTGATAGTAAGTAAAACTTTTTGCAAAATTTCAAAAGGTATCATTAACCTAAAGAGAAATAATTTCAAGAAACATGTTTTAAAAAATAAATAATTTTTTGCATTCATAGAAATGGGTAATTCCCCGATCAGGCTATAATGAGGCAACCCTTATCAGGGCCAGATAGCAAATAGGATTTAACTAGATCAATTTCTACACGAGAAGTGATGAAACAAAAATAGTAAAAGAACTTCGGATTAAATTAATTAAATAATAGTAAATTTTTTTGCAATTACTATTAATTAAAGGAGATGAGTTGTATTGACTTAAGATTCCAATACAACTTATCTCCTTATTATTAATAAATTAAAATCATGTTTTCAATAAATACTAATGTTGTTTTAATTTTATCTATAAATATAATAATACGTAATATTAATAGGATTATTATTATTATAAATTATTGAACGCGAGAATAGTAAGTAACAGTGGGTGCAGTCTTGACCGAGCCTAAATCAGAATTCGGGAAGATTGATTCAGTCCTGCTCAACCTATCTTCAAGCGTCAAGTTTAGATCGGTGTTACATTCTAGACTGGAGCATCCTTACTTCCGCTGTATCATCAAGGCTTAATCAATATTGACCAATGCTCAGCCAATTTTTATAAAGGCTCAACTCATCGTCATACTTTACAACCAAATAAAGTTATTGCAATTCTGAAGCTACCAATCGAAAGCTAACAAATTGTTGATTCCACATTGGATTGAAAGTAATTTGCTGCATGAAATTATTTGAAATTTTCTAGAATATTATTTATTTAATGCATATATAAAAAACTTTGAGAAAATTACAACAAATGTCACGTAGCAAATTACATTCAATTTATTTTATTTCAATATAGAATCAAAAAAAATTATTCTAATCAAATCTTAAACAAACTAAAAACCCCCGAAAAATGAATTTAAAGTTATTCTGATAAATTTAAGACATCCGTCATATTGGATCCGCCATTTTTAATCTTTAAAATTTTACTTTAAAATCATGAATTGATTTGATTGCAAAAAGTACCTACCTATATAAGCATTCGTACACTTTTTACATTATTAACTAGAAATTAATATACTTTATTCTTATGCTTTTATACACAAATAAAATGATTCTTTTAAAAAATATTTTTTTTGTATTTTACTTATCCACAAAAATCTATTATAGGTTTTCAATTATTCTTAGAATTCCAAATAATTTTTGTTATTACACTGAAGAAGAAAGAAGAAGAAATATATTTTATCGTAATTAGACTAAAATTTTCACAATTTTTATTACAACGAAATGACTGGTAATTTTAAACGTTGTGTGGAATTATTAGAAGGTAATGATGAAAAAGTTTTGGGTGAAGCTCGATTTGTTTTGACAAAGCTATGTGAAAATATTCTAAATTTTCCTACAAATGAAAAATATCGTAAAGTTCGATTGAGTAATCCTATTGTTATGAGCAAACTTTTACCTGCTTCTGGAGCAATCGAATGTTTATTTGAAGCTGGATTCATTGAGGTAATTGTAGCAGCTCGAATTTTATACTTTAAATATTTTTTTGACGGTGTGTCGGAGCTAAGTTTAATCTAAAGATTTTGATAAGAAATTTACAAGAGAATTGAATTTTTATATTAGTTTATGCTTAAACCCGCTATTTAAAAAAAAATTGGTATCCGACCTTAATTTTTTTGCCATAACAATCTTATTATTTTAGTCGACGGAATAAATTTAAAAATTAAATTATGTTTTTTTTCTTTTTGGTTTAAATTACTCAGAAGACACTAAACATTAAAAATCAATAAAATTTACAAGTAAATTTGAAGTGTACATAAACCTTTGGGTTGAGCTCTACTAAACATCAGGGTTTTCAGCATGAAAAATACAAAACTCAATTTTCTTAAAAAATTTTCTAACAACGTTTTTCTTTTTTGTCTTAAATTACTAAGTAAACATTGTAGAAATGAAATTCAGAAGAAAATTTTTAGTGCCAAAACGTTTGGGTTGAAATTAATTCCGACACATCGTGCTTTTATACATTTTTGACAACAAACTTAATTTAAGACACAAATTTCGTCTTTTGTATTTCTAAAAACATATATATTTATTTTAATTATTTAAAATTAATAGACTGATGATGGTTTTTATTTACCGAAAGATGTATCGCTTTCATTAATTCAAGATTTAAAGCGTTCGATTGATAATTTATCATCAAAAATTGTTTCACAAGAACCAAACTGTCAGAATAAAACTGAACCCATGTCAAGACAAATATTTCAAAATTCAAACCAAACACGGTTTTTTAATGAAATTGAAAGACATTTTGAAGATGTTTTGGATCTCGAGGATAAAAAATTACAGGCTCGTGCTAAAATGCTTATACCTCTTGAAGAATTACAAATAAAAACAATGGAAAGGATGAGGTTCATTCAAAGGTAATCAATATCGATGTAATTTGTACAGAAGTCAATTTTAGTTTTAAAAAAATACAATTCTTTAAATTAGAATTAATTAATAATTATTAATAATTATTAATTAATTAATACAATTAATTCAATATTAAAATTAATAATTAATTAATTAATTTCCGTAATTTAATATTAAATTAAGGAGAATAGAAGCCCTAACATAATAAAATATCCTTTTTAAGAAGTAAATAAACGATTTAATGTAAAATATTTTTTTCATAGTTTAATTAATTCAAATATACGTAGTATTTTTTTTATTTAATAAAATGTTATACAACAAATGCTTTTTATTCATAGAGAAATTAAAACAAGAAACATAGAAAATGAATGTAGTAATATAGAAAGTGCAGAAGAAAATTTTACCATGGAAGATTTGCTTTTAGTACAATTAATTAACTGGTTTAAATGTGAGTTTTTTAAATGGGTAAATAGTCCGCCTTGTAATGTTTGTTCTAACGAATGTTCTTTCGTCAGAGTTGAACCATCCAAAAATCCTGGCATATCAAGAATTGAAATACACAGGTAATTTTTAAATTACATTTTTTTCTCTTTTTGTGTTCAGACTTTTTTTAAATGAAAATTTCAAATTTTTCTTAACTTGAAAAATTGTTTACTTTTTTTTACGGCGAATATATAGGAACGATTAATTCAACAAAAAAAGGTTTCTTTACTTAAATTATTTGAATTTTCGTCTAAACATAATATAAACAACTTATTGTTTTTAGGTGTGGTGTTTGTGGAAATGATGTACAATTTCCACGTTATACAGATCCCAATATGTTACTAACGACTCGAGAAGGACGTTGCGGTGAATGGGCTCGTGTATTTACTCTTATGTGTCGATCGCTTGGTTACGATACAAGGTTTATAGTGGATAAAACTGATCATGTTTGGACTGAGGTAATAAAATTATGAGAAAAATAATGTTTACATGGTCATTCTTTCTCATATCAGCCACGCCTCTGCACATTTTATTTTTGAATATAAAATATTTTGCAAGGTATGGAAATTTTCGTTGAAAACTTTATTTTTCGATACCGTAAGGTTTTTTCAATTTTCTCCTAAGTGTGTGAAGTTGAAAAAAATATGATTTTGAGAAAAATGCGTTTAAATTTTTAATTGTATTTTATGCCCATATATTCTGAGTGAATTTTTGTGATCGTGAACCCTCTTAAAACATTCTTGATTAACCTGTAGTAAAAATAACATAGATTTTATCGTTTTTCGATGTAATTTGCACATTTCAAAAATATAATGTGTAGAGGTGTGGCTGATTTGAGAAAGAATGCACACATATAAATTTAGTTATTTGTATTTTTCTAGGTTTGGTCAGTGGCTCAGAAACGATGGATTCATGCAGATTCTTGTGAAAATGCAATGGATCGACCTCTAATGTATGAAAAAGGTTGGGGGAAAAAATTATCATACATAATAGCTTATTCAAAAGATGAAATTCAAGACGTGACATGGCGCTACACAAGTAATCCAGAAGCTGTAAAAAGAGAAAGAAATCTTTGTTCTGAAGAAAGTCTTGTAGCTTTTATATTGGAACTTACTAACCGACGATTACATTCCCTAAGTTCAGTTAGAAAAGAATATATTGTGAAACATAGACTATTAGAATTAGTTGATATGCTACCAGCTCCACCAGGATGTAAAAAAGTAGAGGAAAACGAAAATGTCACATACGAAGGTCGTATCTCAGGATCTCTAGCTTGGAAATTGGCTCGAGGAGAAACTCAAGTAAGATTGTTTAAAAAAATAATTTTTTTTTGTGTCACATTCGTCTTCCTTGATCTCAAAAAATATGAAAGATACATTTTGGTTATTCAAATACGTCTACAGACTTTAAAAATTGAAAAAACTTTTATATTTTGTTGAGAAAAATTATTTTTTCTCTTAAATTTAGAAAAATGTTAAGTATTTTTAATTCAAATATTTGTTTATTTTAAAAATATAAAAGGGTCACTCTCTTAAACGGACACCCCCTACTTTTCAAAATTGGTTTAAAATTAAACAATCATTCAATACATGAAATTGTAGCTTAAGATGTTATTATTATTATTATTATTATTAGTTATTTGCGTTACTTATTGTTTTGTTGTATATTTATTAAGAAGAATGGTGGACCACTCCATCGAAACGTTGCAACTTTAAGAAACGTCATAAATTTGATTTGTTCTCTTAGCTTCCCATTGATTGAATTTACTTCTTTACTAATTACACATTTAGAAGAGAATTTTACTTTTTATCTTAACGATTAGCTGACACACTTCAATGGAATGAAATGGCTGTCACACTGGGGTCAAATTGACCTCAGAGCAAAAAATTGTTATTAAAACAAGCCTGTTCATTATTTTTTCTTGAAATTTTTTTTTAAGTGATAATGGGATGCTCATTTAACAAACATTTCTTTGTACAATGACTAGAAATAAACATTAAGTACTTAAAAAAAATTAAAATAATGAAAACAAGTTGTAAATTCAGATGTTCATTACATGAACATTTTGCTTCCTCTTTACGATCAGCAAAAAAATTTGCTTCCTGGTGGAGAAAGCAAAATTTTATTGACAAAATGTGAATTTTTGATTTTTTAACTTTCATTAATTCTTTAAATTTACCTCAAATGAATACTTTATATATATTGATCGATTCGTCTTGACGTAAGGAATACGATTTTATTATATATAACCTTAAATTTTTCTATTTAAAAATTTTTTCGATTAAAAAATAATTTTTGGAAAAAAGACCATAAAATTTTTTTTTTGGAGTATTTTTCAAAATCCTTTGGTCAGATTTGAGATATTAATATGATAAATGAGCCTACTAAATTTTATCTAAATCCATTAAAACCTGTTAAAGTTATCTTCTAAACAAAAAAGGGATCCACACACACACATACACACACACACATACACACACATACATACATCCGGACAATTGATCAGGATCATATATAACATGTTTCTATAAAGAAAAAAATTTGTTTCCGCCACTTTGAAAAGTTTTATAAACGAAAGGACTACAAAGCTTCCTCCACGAGGAAGCAAAAGTACGAAAAATGTCAGTTTTTACATAAAAATTCAGAACATTTTTATTTTATCATTTAAAGTTTTAAAAATTAAGCTGTGATAACTTGAGATACAGTATTTAAAAAAAAATTGCAGTTTAGTGCTACTTTAAAAAAAGGAATTTATTTAGATAAGTCACTGAAGGAGTTTTGTAGAAAAAAATTATTTTTTCAGTTTTGTCAAGAAATTTAAAAATTATTATACATACCTATACATTATACTTTCATATTCTTCCTTGATCAATTATTTTTCGCTTGTGGTCCGACTTTGCAAAATTGTAGGTTGTCTAATTTATCAAAATAGCTTAGAATACACTTTAAATAAAATTAGTAACACTTTTATGTGGTTAACTTACCTTATTTTGAACTCGATGATCCATATTGAACGAAAAAAATATTAAAAATTTTTTCGACAAAATCAGGTTAGCTGACACACTGGGGTCTATACAGGCACCACTCTACTTTAACCCTTTGTCGTCTATAAGCTATTCCCACTTGAGAAGCAAACAGATTGACAGTTGAATCACGTGCAAAAAGTTAGGGCCGTAATCAGTCATTTTTAATTTTTAGGTTATGTTTACATTTTGATTTACACATAACAAAAGTCTTTGACAAAGAAACTTATCTTTTTGTAATTGAATAATAGCTTCAAGTTATTGCACATTAAAAAAAATTCATATTTTTAGTTATTAAATAAGATTTTTTTAATATTATTTATTTTTAAATATAATACCGGCACACAAAAAAAAGTTGTCTGTTTCTTGAACTAGATATTTCTATAGTATTTTGGCCCGCTGAAAACGAATATAAAGCCAGAATTGCTTTATCACCCTCTGATTTTTATTAAATCGAAAAAAACCACCCTTAACCGGACAAATTCAAACTTAGCTATTTCGTTGGGAGAAAAATTGAATGCAAGTACAATTAAAATTTTCTGTACCTCTGATATGGAAGAAACCATCATGCTAAAAAGATTGCTACTTTTTTAATACTCCTAAGTTTGAATTTGTCTAATTAAGGGTGGTTTTTTCGATTTTAATGTTAAATTTATTTTTAAAGGAATACATTTCTTAAAAAATAAATTTAATGATTTTTACCTTATACTTCTTCCATGCTTTCTTGCAATTTTTCATTTTCGGAAATATTAGGAAAAAATTTTTTAATTTTAAATTTATCAGAGCCAATTCTGCATCTACATGAAGTGCATATGTATTGGCCTATGAGAGAACTGAATTCAGACTTCCACTCCTTCGTAACAAGCTTAATATTTTTGTAAATTGAATTATGGTTTTTTTCAATAACGGATTACAGCACTTATTTACAGGTACCATTTTTAATGTAAAACTGGATTAATAGTCAACATTAAAAAACATTTCACTTATTAAGAAAACAGACTTGTTGACACAATAATAAACACTCGAGAGAAGTTGATAGAAAATATCAATAAAAAATGAACAAAATATATTTAATTAAATGCTAAATTTATAATATTTAAATATTAAATGTTAAAAAACAACACTTTTGTAAAAAATATTTTAAACTAATAGTAAGAATACAATTCACAAAATTGTAGCGAATTCAACGTAACTCGTTTACACTACTGTTTTGCTAATTGAGTGACACGGATTTTTAAAACGTATATTGAATCTTTATAAAATTCTCTTTCCAATAAAATTTGAATGAACTTTCTGAAACGTTGAGAACATGGTTAATTTTGCAGTTAAACAATTAATTTTAAAATAACAATTAGTAATTTGCAACAAATGTTTTTTTTATTTTTTCAATTAAAACTTCAGTATTTCAGGTTTTCAAAAATATGTCGTTCATTAAAATCCGTCTTTTCTATTCCAAGATATGAATTTTTTAACTAAACAGTGTAAAAAACTTCAATTGTTTATAACTAAGAGAAATTTAAATTTTTCAAAAAATCCTTTAAACCGTTTAATAAACTCATAATGAAGTTTACATTTTTCATATTGCCAATTAAAAACAGTAAAATTGAAAATTTGCTGTTACACTTCAGGAATTCTTACCCAATTAATTGTTCAATAATTTAATGTATGTTCTAGGTCACAAGACAAAAATATCAAAAATGGATAATTCCAAAAGGAACTAAACACTACGAATTACGATATTTTGTAGTTAAGGACATTTATGAGGTTTCAATTGAAAATAATAAGAGCCTCCTAGAAACGAGAATCGGATGGCAAGAAGGAATTGCTGAGAATGAGGGAGGAATTTTTCGAAAAGAGGAATCAGATTGGAAAATGGTGTACCTTGCACGCTCTTCTGACAATGAATTTGGATTTATAAGTTGGACATTTGAAGTGAATGATGAAAATCTAGTCATGAGTAGTTTAAAATTAAATGCCCTTATTGGTACCTTCCATAGTGGTGATGTTGAATGGGTTGTGGAGAAATTTTATTTAGAAACAAGTGAAACTGAAAAAATTGAAAATAATAGTGAAAATTTTGAAATTGATTTGAAGAAAGCGGTTCGCATTAATATCAAGGCAATTCTATCGGGAGGAAATGGTGAATTAGCCTGGCAACACGCACAACTCTTTCGTCAAAGTCTTAATTCCAGTGAAAAACATTCCATGCTTATAAGTATATCTTTAGAAAAACGGTAAATAACTGATACTTGTTAGTAAAGTATGAAATATATATTTTAATTTATACATGTTTTTTTACATATAAAAAAGCATTTATAGACATCACACTATTTACGATACATATTACAAAAACATTTTCGTACTTTTTACTTACATTTTTTGTACAATAATTAAAAATGTATAATTAAAGTAAAGAGACAAATTTATCTTTCATTTTCTTTATTTTCAATCCTCTACTACTCCTATACTGACCTCAGGCACTTGATTAAAAGAAGGAATTTTTAACTTTTTGTACGTTTGCAATATTGTTTCTGCAAAACAATTGTTTATGTTTGTAGTTGATAAGTTATTGAATAGATGCGAGTTGCGAAAATTTAAAAGTTGATATCCTATACATTGACCCCCACAGAAAAATTGAATCTTAATTACCTAATAATCCACATTGATGATTAATTTTATTTTATAATAACCAAAATTTATTTTTAATACATTTTGTGTGGAGTTCTTTAACTACAATCCTTTAGGGTCGGTGGACTTAGCTTTATGAGGGATAAAAAATGTTCAACTGTACAAATAACAAAAAAATAACTATGGCACAATAGTTAACAAATTAAAAATAAATAATTAAGTCTTTTATTTCATTGCATAGCGTGAGAAAGTCAGGTCTATTGTGACTGTCCCAAGCCCAACAAGGATTCATTAGTCTCGCATAAATTTCAGCCGGACATTTTGGAGGGCACGGCAGTCTCATTCCTTTCTCCAGGGCAGCCAACAGTTCAGCACTACCTTCTTCTTCACTACTTTTTCCTCCTTCATGTTTATTTTGACCAATTGATTCATCAGGCAGCTTTGGATCTTCACCAAAACTAAACATCTCGAATAATGTTACTCCAAACGACCAGACGTCTGATCTTGGCGAAAATTTTCCATCTCTTAAACTTTCAGGCGCATACCTAAAAAAATAAATACATCTCATATAAATTGATCGGGATCACAGAACTTTTCACTTATTTTTCTTAATATTTATCTTATTGAATTTAATTAAATTGGATTATTTATTAAAAATTTTAATTCAAATTTAAAAGATCATTCCAACAATCTTAATTTTTGATTAATTGATTGAAATTTTAATTCTTTTTAAATTTAATATATCCAAAATTTTACAGAATCTAAATTACAATTCATTCTTATTTTGGGAAAAGGGGGGCAAAATGGGATAGCGTTATAGTTATTTTGTGTATTAACTTTATTTTGTAACATGTTTTTGCAAACTTAGTTTCGTAAAATAATTCTTATCACCTGTTATAAGTACAAAAGAATAGTTATTTCCTGAAAATGTTTTTTTCAAAAGATTTATAATTTGAATATTTTAATAATGGTTTAGGATGAAATATCTTACCATTTTATCGGTAAATCCCTATCAGTTTGTAGAATATAATAATCATTCTTTCCCATCACTTGAGCCAATCCAAAATCACTAATTTTCACTCGATTTTCATCAGCTACAAGTATATTCCTCGCTGCCAAATCTCGATGTACAATACTTTTCTGACCAAGATATTCCATCCCTGTTGAAATATCAAGCGCAAAGTGTAACAGTTTTTTCTCCTTTAAAACTTCATGATTAATTGCTAAATAACTTTGCAACGATCCATGTTTCAAGAATTCCATCACCAGACAAACATCCGGTTCAGAAATAACGCCAAGAATTTCAACAACATTTGGATGTTTCAATGTCTGAAAAAATAAAAAAAAATTTTGAAAATAAAAAAAAACTAAGAAAACAAATATAAAAATTAAATCGCACACCTTCATTATTGATATTTCCCTCTCGAAATCGCGCAAGTCTGCTTCTACTGATCGCATTTTAAGTTTCTTTACAGCAACCCTTTGTGGTTCGGCGTCTTTAGAATTTTCTTTTTCCAAAGTACCTCGATAGACTTCACCATAAAATCCTTGACCAATTTTTCCTTGAAGGATAACATTACAATCTGACGTCAACTCAAAAATTCCTTGCATTTGACCGAGAAACCCATTTTCTTCAGTAAAATCATTAACACTTGAAGTATCACCGATTCCCGATTCGGCCAATAAGTCAAGAAATGCTGTAAAATCCTCTGCGTTTGCTGTTGGATCTATAAAATGTCCTGATTCGGCTAAAACAAAATTTTTATCTCATTAGGAATAAAATTAAAAATACTAGCGTTTTGCGTGAATAAAATACAGGTTAATATGGAAAAAAAAATTTTAAGCACACCCAAAAATGAAGTGTAATTTAAAGTTTTAAATAGTCTTACTTTCATCTGTATCATCCCAGTGTAAACTTGTATGATCTGTAAATAAACTACTGGCTCTTGATTCACAATCTGAGGAGTCTACTTCAAGTCCTTCATCACCTTCTTGGCCAGTCTGTTTCAATAATTTTGGAAGTGCTGTGGCATAAACGTGATTTCTTCTTGAACTATAAATAGCCAAATTAATATGCCGAAGATCTCGAACAATAGCCTGTGCCTTCTTTCGTGTATCTTTGTCTTCTTCCCAACATTCAAGCATCAATTGATAAATATCCACCGAACAGTTTTTAGGTATTGGTAAACGTTTTCCACTTGCGTAATACTGTAAGAAATGATTTAAAACTATAAAATTATGAAAACAAAAATGATTATCAAAAATACTAGTAAAAATTAATACTCGAATAGTTTTAGGTTGAGCCCAATATTAAGTATTTTTGTTTAATAGATTTTTTATCAACAATTGTAATGACAATCAATTGTTTATACAAAATCGACTTGACAAAAATACTTCACATAAGGCACGTTGAATGTGGAATTACGGCAGCTTTCGATTGGTAGCTTCAGAATTACAATAACTTTATTTATTTGCAAAATATTTCATTTTTTATTAATTATAATTTATTAATTAATATTAAAAATGAATTAACAAATATCTCAAAAAACAAAAAAAGGACATTTTCATATTTTTGTGTTGATAGTATACATTTTAACACTAGAACTACCGAAGATCCTGCATACCTAGAACTACCACCGGGACATTTTGTTCCATGATTCATTTATGTTTTTTTTATTAACATTTACAAGTTAGAAAAATAAAGTGATACATGATTTTTATAGGTTTTTTCACGTAGATTACGAATCCGAAGTCGGAAATACTCCAGCATTTTAATTTTTCACTAAAAAATAGGTTTGAGTGATAAAAAACAGCGTTTTTTATGTTAACTAGCGCCTCCGACAGTCATTGGCCGTCTCCGTTGCTTCTATTCTTTGTGCATTCAATTTAATTTTCAATTTATGTTTCATAATTTATTACAATTATTTAATTAAATATTTAATAATATTGTTAACAAAATGCAAAAAGACATGTAATTATAGCGAAAGTTCCAAATAGAAAAATAATAATCTCTTATATTTGTAAAATTTGTTTGAAAATAATAATAATTCTTGAATAATGATTTTTTTAAACTGAAAACACTTTTTTATTCAAGGTAATATTATTTTCATAATAATTTAATTTATTACAATTATTTTATTATAATTTAATAAATTTCATTATTTTAAAAAAGGGCGCGTTATTTTGTCTTGGGCCAATCAAGTGATTTCAGCTAAATGTAGGTTATGTTCGTTTCTGATTCATAACAGCTGCAATAATTTACAACAAATAAATGATTTGCAAGTGTATATTTATTGCAATTAAGTAAGTTATGCAAAAAATATATATGTGGAACAATAATTTAAGGTGATTTTCATAAAATGAATATTGATTTAGATGCTGTGGAAACATGAAGTAGGATAAGGAGAGGTAACGCCTGTAGCCAATCGCTAGAAAACTTGACACCATATAGGGGGGACCACAGTAGTACGACTTTCTATTTTCCTACTGTTGACAGCGCTTGCGGTGGGAAATATTTGAATTATATTTTATCACGTGACCTACCGCGAAAAGAGAAACATAACCTGAATGTTTCACATGGTGTTTTTGTTGTTAAAATTCAGTCGTTTGTTTTACACATGAAGTATTTCAGTAATGTGTTAGTGTTTTGAAAAATGAAGAGTTGTTTTATAAAGCATTGCGATTCGGGTTCGAAAACCCAAATAAAAAGAGATGGTTGTGTTCGAAGTTTTTTTAAACCTTCCATGGTAAGTAGAATGAAATTGTTTATTATTTTTTTATTACTCATGATATTATTATGTAAATAATAAATAATGTTAATTATATTTCTTATTTCGATAGAAAATGTTAGCAACATGGTCAGAGGCTATTCGAAGATTTGACAAAACTATGAATGTAACTCATAAGCTTTGTGAGTTACATTTTAAAGAGTCTGACATTGACAGATACAATAAATTCCAGTGTCAATATTAAACTATTATTTGATTTTTAAAATATTTCTGACATTTTACAGTTAATGTATTTGCATAATACCTTCATATTCATTAACTTAACCTAACGTTGTAAACAGCTGACTTGCAGCCATGTTGCAGAGGATAAATTTTAATTCTTCGCTTTCCCCAAAGGAGCGCTCGCGACATTAGGAAAAAAGAAAGTCTACTACTGTGGTCCGTCTATCTGAGGGCCAATGAATATACGCCGTTACCTCTCCTTATCCTACTTCATGTGTGGAAAGCAAAGTTCTTTCTTACATTCGATCTTTTTGAACATCGAGATCTTTCGATACATTTTCATGTGCTTTGCATGCACTGTCTTTTTTAAGAAAGGACTTTAGAGCAATATAGAAAATTATCCCGAAAACTTGTAAACTTTCGATAGGCCTTAAAATAACAAATAAACCTTCAACAAAGAATTATGTATATGAAAAACCCAAAACTTTAACTGAGATTTTGCCAAAAACGATTTTTTTGATAAGCGCGTTTCACCAGCAGTTTCGTACAATAAAGGCCTGAGCAGAATAGTAACGTAACCGAAATCGCACACGCAACCGGAAGAATGAGTTAGAGAAGGATAGATACATTGTTTGTCCTTTTCTAACTTATTTTTCCGGTTGCGTTTACGATTACGATACAGGTTACGTTTCTATTCTGCTCAGGCCTTAACAGTCCGCTGCGCTGCTTCCCATGTAGATTTGCATAAAAAACGCTTGTCTTGTAAATATTAATAAAGGCAATTACAATACAAAATAATCATAATTCCACATATATTATTATCATTGTTTATACTTTCTATTAACTGTACAAAATGATTATTATTAACGAAAGATACACAAGAAAAACCGTAGGTAGTTCTAGTGTTAAGCTTTATAAAAAAAATTTGAAAAGGAAAAAAAATCATCGATTATATTTCTAAAATAATATTTGGCTATCATCTAGATATAAATAAAATTTAAAAAATTATTAAACAAATTACATTTGTAAAAAACTGAAAAATTCCCAAGAAACAATTTAACTTTATAAAATTTTTTAAATATGCTTTTTAATTTTTTGACATTGCTTTTTAAATTAAATTTTTAACCTTTAACTGGCACAATTTTGCACAAAAATTTAATCTGAGGTAGGTTATGATGTTTGAGAAGTTTTTACAATATTTATATTTCTTATCGAAATTTCAAATTTTTTCTTAATACATTTATAACTTGAACATGCGCTGCAAGGAAAGATTAGGATTAACTAAACAAAATCATAAAATGTATAAATTTGTTAAATGTAGAGATAAATGGGACCCTTCCTTTTGTGTATCCTCAGTGCAATTTGCAATAAATGTACAGATGTCGTCGATATTAAGGTTTATTACTGTCATTCTGCAAACGTCTCAATTCAGGTAAAATAAGGGTCCTAGCAAAGAGGTTAGTTTCTTTCCCACGCGAGTGCTAATTTTGAAAACACCCTAAAAACGCCTTCAACTTACTAATAACCAATAAGATCCCTTTTTAATTTGAAAACCCCACTACTACATTTTCAGATGATGTATTTCAAACTGCAAAATGTACATATTTAAAATTAGAAAACAGATTGTAACAAGATTCGAAACAGAGAACATTTCTCAGCTTATTCAATAAATTTAATTTACAAAAGTATTTCCGTGTCCTAAATTATTAACATGCCTTATTAGTTTAATGCATGTGTAAGAAGATTTATTAACAATATTAATAAAAAAAATTCTTGCCTTAAACAATTTATAAAACAGATGTGTTTTTTAAAATATAATTAGTTTTACAGGGATTAATTTATTTTAAGTTAGTTAAAAAAATTGTGAAAAATAAAAACGAAACGAAAATATCGGTAATAGATTTTATAAAAATATTATAAGAATAATGTATTTTTAAACAATTAAATTATTTTAAACATTTTGAATTATATTATTATTATTATTATGTATTAAAATTTAGTTTAATGATAAACAGAACTTAAATAAGAACAAACCTTTTTAATGGAGTCGATGTTTGGCTTCATTGGCAGAGTTCCACCTCGAGAAAAAATTTCCCAAATTACAGTACCTACAGCCCAAATATCCGCTTCTATACTACGTTTTGCTGATTCTGGATGATTGTAGCACTCCAGAGGTAACCAATGAATACTGAAAATAATATTACATCAATTAATCTCTAAAATACTATACGTATAATTAAAATTCCTAAGATAAACTTCACTTACTCTGATGGTCCATATCTAAATATTCCCGGATCACTGAGTTTAACTATAAAATTTTTGTCAGTATGTTGATAAACCAGAAGTTTTCGACATCTCAAGTTACCATGAATTATGTCTTTTTCTTCCTATAGTTGAAAAAAAGGAAGTAATTATTATTTGCAAGCGTTTTAAACTTTAAACTAATTTACACAACAATTATTTATATCAAATATATTACTACATTATATATATTTATATTATATATTACAACATTCTGATGATAGAAAAACAACTTCAAACATGAAAAATCTAAGAAAATATAGGGGAAGGTGGGGTAATGGGAGCTTTTAAAATTCAAGTACACAGAGACTTTGAATTTCGTGGAAATAGCTCGGAAAACTTGAACAATCTTCCTGTATGTCATATGAAGACAAACGGTCACATTTCTGACAGATTTGTAGAAACTACAAGGAAAAATTAAGTTTTCGAGTTTTGCTTCTTAAATGGAAAATATTTCTGGAGATTATAGTAAATGGTTAAAAATTTATTATTTAATTATGTTTTGTGATTTTATTAGAGATAAATATGTGTAGATTTAGATACATGAATAAAAATAGAGGTAATAATTAAATTTTTATATGTTTTTTTTCTTTTTTGCTTCCTCGTGGAGGAAGCTTTGTAGTCCTTTCGTTTATAAACTTTTTAAAAATGGTGAAAACAAATTTTTCTCTATATAGAAACATGTTATATGAGATCCTGATCAATTGTCCTGATGTATGTGTGTGTGTATATATGTATGTGTATGTGTGTGGATCGTTTTTGTGAACACGATATCTTTAACAGGTTTTAATGGATTTGGATAAAATTTGGTAGGCTTATTTAACACATTAATCTCTCAAAAATGACGAGAGGATATTTAAAAATACCCACAAAAAAAATTTTATCGTCTTTTTTCCAAAAAATTTTTTTTAAGTAAAAAAATGTTTAAATTAGAAAATTTAAGGTAATATATAATATAATCGTCTTCCTTACGTCAAGATGAATCGATTGATTTAAATTTAAAGAATTAATGAAAGTTAAAAAATCAAAAATTCACATTTTAGCTAAAAAATGTTGTGTTTATTTAAATTCATGTTTATATATGAAATAATTTTATTCCCTGCATTGAAACGAATTGGTAGGTATATATAAAGTATAGATTTGATTTAAAATTTAAAAATTAATAAAAATTGAAAATTCAAAAATTCATGTTCTAGCTAACAAATTTTGTGTTTTTTTTTAAATTCAAGTTAATGAATAAAATGATTGTATTCCTTACATTGAAACGAATGGATTCGTATATACATATAAAGTATATGTTACAGCCAAAATTAATTAAAATTTTCTTAATTTTTCAAAAAATTTAATTAATTTAAAACAGTTTTCAACTCGAAATTTTTTAAATCAATCAATTGAATTGGAGAAATTTATAGCTTCCTCCACAAGGAAGCAAATTTTTTGCTTCACACAATGAGGAAGCAAAATGTTTATGAAATAAACATAAAGGACCCCCTCTTTGTTTCAAATTGTGGCCTGTGAAAATTTTTTGGGGCAATGAGAAAATTGTGCCAGCCAGCAGAGTTTCGTTAACTTGATATGGCTTTTCTTATTTTTTTGAAAATTAAACAAGATTCATTTATAAAATTTGATATTGTTGCATATTTAATTGCTGAGAATCCATATTTGTGTTGTATTGTCTAAAATGTGTTCTTAATTTCTAATTAATTATAATTAAAGATAAATACCAAAAGGAGTAAAAAATGACCAAAACAATATTTTATTATAACAATAAGTTGATTTTTTTAATAATTGTCCTTAAGGGGCTATAATTCCCCCACCTTCCCCTCCTAATCAACGGACTCATTTTTAAAAATTGAATGTAAAATACGTGCTTAGAATTAATTTTATTCTTAAAAAAATGACTTACTAAATGGAAAACCGCATTTGCAAGACTAGTAGCAGCTTCAATCAAATCAACAGTTTTAACAGTTTGACTCTCTCGTTGCAAATAGACGTCCAAAGGACCAAAATTTACTAATTCTAGAATCATTCCTTGTGCAGGTTCAAAAGTTAAACCAAAAGCTCTATAAAAAAGAAGATGCTAATACAATATATATATTACACAAAATGCTCACGTCACGTTAAAATTTAATAAATATTGAAATCATATATATTTTTTTTTTCATTGAATTAAATCGTGCATCTCACCTAACAAATTCTTTGCACTTCAATTGGCTCCACTGTGTAGTTAGTCGAATAAATTCTTTGAAAAGTTCTTCTTGTCTTAAAAGCTTAATGGCCACTTCCACTTTTTTACCTTTTTCAATTCGCCACAAAGCTTTATAAACAGCAGTTGGAGAGAAAAATCCCGACACTGCATCATTATCAGAAATTTCTTTATTCTCAGGAAGTGGTTGTGCCTTGTAGACCTGCAATTCTGAATGTAAAATTACAGCAGGTCTTCTATTTAATAATTCTGATATGAATTCCTGATCCGCAATTACATCCAGTTCTAATCTCTCTTTAGCACAAAGTAGGAGTTGAGATTTATCTAAAAAAATGTAAAACTGATACAGTTTTCTTATTTAACTTTATTATATTTTTTATTTATTTAAATCAGTTAAATGAAAATGAATATCATTGTTTAATCTGAATGTTAAAAATGTCGGAGCTAAGTTTAATCTAAAGGTTTTGTTATTTCAGATTTTCTTATAAATTTCGTTTTTAGAAAATTTCTGAGTAATTTAAGATGAAAAAGAAAAAAATCGTTAGATAAATTTAAAAAAAATAGAATTGTTATTTTAATCTTAATAAATTTTACATTGTCTTTGAGTTCGAACTTGGCAGCAGTAGAATCCGGACGGAATACGTTCCGGCTCTCCGTGCATCACACTGGGTTACAAAAAATGGTGATGTCGTGTTTATTTAAAATTTCTGGTGATTACTGAAAGTTTAGGTCATACTGAACAAGAATATACCTCAAGATTTTTTTTCATTCGGTCAGTTCTATAAAAAACTAGATTAAAGAGTCATAAAATCACTTTTTTAGCACTTTTTGAAGTACTATAAAATGAAAACACAAGATGTTAAAAATATTTACAAGGGCTTTAAGGAAAGCTTAAACCTTCCACTTTGAGTCCTAAAACTAAAAAGTGAATGACAAATGCGCTGAGACTTATTTATCATGTATATAATCGCTATCACACTCACGTATATGTTACACATTAGGAGAAAATTAACTATTTTAATTTTAGGTTGTGCTCTGAATTTTAGTATTTTGCTAAACATTTCTTATTTCGTGTAGTTACACATTTTTGGAGTTTAGGTTCTAGTTCCTGAGATCCTTTTAACATCTGTCATTTTTTTACTTTATTGTATAGCTCTTTGCAAGTTGAGACTTTCAACATTTTGGGTTAGATATGAAAAATTACAGGAGTGGGGATTAGTCATTTTGCCTACCTTTGCCTATCCCTTTCTAATTACTCATATCTAAATGTAGTTAGTCCCTTTTATGTCTTCGAGTAGAGCACAACCTTACCTCTCAACTCATTATCAATAAACAATATATTTAATTAATCCAACATCATTTTATTTGCACCCTCAAACACCAAAGATGAGATGTTTTTGATTCAAATCGGAGTTTGTTTCACTCTTTTTTACCCCAGGAAGAGTCTTTTAACTTCAGCAGTCGTACTCTAACCTGTTAATTATTATATTTTGTTCATTTTCTCTTCAGATTTAATGATTGAAATTGTTATTGAGATCAATTTTCTACATACAAGTGTACGGCGTATGTGTTTTGAATTCGATTCTCATATATACTCTTCTCATGGAGTTTATTTTGATTCATGAACGGATCCAACGCATGGCAAAGTCCTTACACTCGACTAGCTCGTTCTCAAGTAAACAACGCAGTTGATGCAATTTTGAATTACTTATTACCTGAATTCACCTTTTGCTAGCTGGACTGTATTATCAACAAAGATCTCATATATTTCCCACGCTTTAACAGTGATTGACGTATTTGATTCAAATAAAGGCCTGCTCCACTTTGCTTTACTTCAGGAGAGGTCCTTTGGTTTATGATCAGTATAAGATTTTTGACGAATGCTGAGCTGAAGGGATTATCGATGATGTATCATCAACGGAACCTAATCTCAAAGGATATTTTTTATCGCACAGAGGAATCGTCAAAGAAGGTCATTAACTTACATTTGAAAACATAAATCTCGATTTACTGATTCTAGTTTTAAAATATTTGCCTTCTTAATAGAAGAATTAATAGAATAATGTTAATTCTTCTATTCATTGGCTAAATTGATTTTTTTAACTTTCCCTTGTTTTAACGCTTTTGTGTACAGCACAGTTACTTGCCTCATACGTTTATTTAGTTTTACCTCTTTTTCCCTTACACGTTATTAATTTTCATTATTGTCATCCGTCTAAATTTATCAAACCACTTGCACAAGGATCGCCAAAAAACGGGTTGGAAAAATTAGTAGAACAGAGTTCTCACATGAGATTTACAGGCTCATCTACACTTTAAGTGCATCTAGTGAAACCGTGTGGAGGTGCTTGCCCAGGTAGATAATATTTCCTTCTTAATAGTGGGCTATTACATCCTAAATCTTCACCCCAGGCAATCGGGGACACTTTCTTATCTGAAAAATTTGTTACTTCTTCCGAAGATTAGTTTATTTGAGTCTCAATAGTCATTCCGCACTTTAAAATTACCGTGACCGTTCTAGAATACCAGATATATACGCGTCCAATCAAATACGCGTTATTCCTCGAGCTCGATGAAATATTCTTCGAGGGTAGATTACGTACTGCGGGTTTTACTTTTCAATACACTCATGCGAGATCAACATCCTGGTTAACAATTTTCGAAACACAAGTCGTTAATATTAGTCTAGACTCTCAAGTAAACGAAAATGACGTCTCAGACGAGCGAGCACGCTATACGACAAATGCAATTACATGAGATGATTCATGTTTATGTTTTCCAAAATTACGATAATAATGTCGACTTAGTCAATGCCCACGGTCCTGTGTACAAAGAAAGATTGTAGCCCTTAGAAATTTATAATGCGGTAGTATTCCTAATGATTATTTTTTAATGTTTCTTGATGTACAATCATTATTTACTAAAGTTCCTCTTAATTTAGTCATTGAGGATTTGAACGGAGAATTATATCTCTAACAAATTGTAAAACCATGATTACTTGGTCATTAACACATTTAATTCTTAAAATAACAATTTACAATTTACTTATGATTTGCAAATTGATAATCAAATTAATTTTCTAGATATTACTTTAAACGTTATAAACAATAAATTAATAAATAATTGGTATCAAAAGCCAACATATTCAGGTAGACTTATCAATTACTTCTTAAATCATCCAATCCAACAAAAAATCCATATTGTATTCAATCTTGTTGACAGAGCATTCGTTTGATCATTCGTTTCACAAGGACAACTTACCAGAAGTAGAAAAAATCTCAATAGACAATGATTACTCCCCTTCTTTGTATAACAAATATATAAAAATCCGTTTAAACAAAATTAAATTTAACAATAAAGACCTGAATTCAAAAAAACACACGATCTTTTATGTATAAACAAATTCCTAAACTTTGTTTACCATTCAACAATTCTGATTTTGTCAATTTGTTAAAAATTATTAAACGATATAACATTTATTCCATTTGTTAATAAAAATCTCAAATCTATTATAAAACTCGGTAAAGATCAAATCGAGAAGTAGCAAGAAACGAATGTTGTTTACAAATTTAATTGTAAGACTTGCCCTACGAATAATATTGGTCAGACAAAACGCTCAATGAACACAAGTTGTTCGTGCATATCAACTAAATTTCGATCATGACTTCATTTGAAAAAATACCACTATACTATATCGTAAAACAAATGATAAAAAACGCTCTGTTTCCGAAATGATTTATATATTGAGTAACGATTCTACAATTAATAAGAAAGAGCATATTTGTTTTCTTAATAAAGCGTATTTCCCTCTTATTAGAAGATTGAATTCATAACAGAAACGTGAAGGTTTCTTTCTTTGCATACTATTTACTTATGAGTTCATTGACTCCTCTTTTTAACACGTGTGATATTCGTTCAAAACAAATTTTAATTCAGTTTTTACTTGATGCTTGCATCGAAATGACGAAAATTATCGCGTGTTTAATTTATGTAATAATTTTAATTTTTAATCATAATTTTAAGATTGACTAGTTGCAATGTAATATTATTTTAAATATTCATTTGTTTGTTTAATTTGGCGTTTTTGTTAAATAAATTAGCCTGGAGAAGACGGTAAACCAAACTATCGAAATGTCGCAACTTGACAAAATAACACCAATTTGTTTTAATGTTTTTTGCTTTCTACTGGTCGAATTTTACTTCTCATCTTAATAAATTTGACATTGTTCAAATGTTAATTTGTGTTTTATTCGAGACTTTCCTATCAATTGCATGGCTCCACTATTTTATAAATTATCATCTTTTTAACAGAGTTTTGTATTTTCATGCTGAAAACCATGTTGTTCAGTAATATAGTTTAGTTCGTTTGTAAGATGATGATTTTAATTAATGAAGAGTCGGAAATATGTGAGTGGGGAAAAGGCGTGAACATGCGTGTAAATTTCAATTTAAAACTTTTTCCATCGATAATTAGTCAGAAATAATCCAAGTGTTCGATAAGAAACATGATTTGTTCTTAGTTTTCTTAATTTGAAAAATTGCAGGAAAATTTTATGACAAATTTTAAGAAAACTTGCGGACATTTTTCGACAAAAATTAAAAAATGTGATTGTTGTAAATATGATGAAATTTTGTTACTGCAAACCTTTCCTAAAGGAAAGGCGACTAAAATCTATTGCGCAGCCCTAAGTTAGTTAGTTAGTTTCCATGCGTTACAAAACGCATGCGTTGGCTTTATACTGGAATGCTCCCTGTATATCTCGCCATGATCCGGTAGGTAGAAAGCGGTTACTCAAACGTATAGGTATTTCCAAAATCGGACTCACGTAGAGTCATTTATATTGAAGCGGAGCGGGAAATTTAAATTAGGTTATATGCTTAAATTGGTTTCCTTTAAAAAGTCGAAGATATGTGAAATAATTGTAGGTGAGGGGTTAGAAAGAAACATGTCACTACAGAAAGGAGCGATGCACTTAAAAGTTTTTGAAAGACGTCGAATTAATTTTGGTCGAAAATTATCATATCTTGAACAGTTCCAAAGAACATGTTCGAGATCTTCATTTATTTCAGGGTTGCAGGGGCAAGCTGGGGAGTTAACGATGTTTTTCTGAATAGGCTCTCTTTAAGAGAGTGGTGATTACTTCTCATCCGGCATATTGACACAATTTTTTGTCTTTCCGCATAAAATGTTGCGAACCATGGCTTCGTGCGAGGTTTGTAGAAACGTTCTGTATAGAAGTTTCCAAAATATCTACCTCTTGTTGTAAAATAATCGTGACATTTATCATTCAATTGTTCCCTGAAACAGCTTACGAAATCCGAAG